AAATTCTGTTAATTGGTTGTAAGTCTTGGGTTCCAATAACCTTTGCTTCAAGACAAGGTATCAAGACCAAAGCCTAAAATCAAAACTGCAATTTTATGGAAAAAAAGATATATATATATATTTATTTATTTATTTATTCATTTATTTATATGTGAGAGAAAGTGAGAACAAGCTGTTTATCATGAAATTAACAAATAGAAAATAAGGATCATGGACTTAATATTAACTTGTAATTCAGCAATCATTTTTCCCTTGCCAGCTTCAGTGTCTACATTTCACCTCATGATTGAAAAGAAATGACTGGACTGAGCATATAAAGTTGTTTTTCTCATTCCTTGACATAGTTTTATTAACTATCAAAGTGGCCTCCATACTCTTAGTGAATTGGACAAAGCGCTGTCTCACGGCATATATGCAGAATCTTAACTACTGAGAAGGTGTCACTGCATCTTCATGTCCACTGAGGAAAGCTCTAGCCTCACCCCTGGTCTCAGGAAGATCAGAGTCAAGTCCACGGGCATCGCCTCTGTAGTTGGTAGAATTCCCATTAGTCAGGCACGGGGGCAATTTCCTGTCGGAGTCATTCTGCCAGCACAGTGCGTGCCGACTCCTTCAACATGTGCAACAGTCAAGCTAGTTAAGAATTCGACGAAAACTGGGCTCTGACGAGCAAGTGCAACCCAAGTCAGGGAAACGGATAACGGGCGCGCGATTGCCCAGAAAGATTCCCCATCCTCTGCTTTTTAACCTCAGTCTCTTTGTCGGGACTTCTCATGTGCTTAGTCCCAGGAGGGGATTGCATTTACTAGTCCCTTTCTGTTTTTCCAGGCAAGGACTCTTGAAAGTTTCTTTGGCTCCCAGCAGGAACTTTGCCTACTGTATTCACTGTCTCTCCCTTTGTCCCCTCTTTTAAAATCTTCTCCCCTTTTCACAACTGCAGACTCAGAGTCCAAACAAACCAGCTCCTCTGACGGGCTGCAGCTCCTTAATGAACAGAAGGAACGCTCAGGCTTTGCTCCCAGAGGACCAAGTGTAGCTTTACCTTCTGGTTATTGGCCTGAGCCTTGAGCGGGCCAGGTGGGTTTTTGCACGTGGCTCACCTTTGCCCTGCAGACTCGTGAGGGGAAGTGGAGGATGACTGCTCCTGCAACTGTGTCTTAACCATCACTGAGAGTTATAGATCTTATGTCAAACTAAGAGTTGCCTTTTATTTCTCACCAGAAGGGTATGGGGAATAATTGTGCATGTTTACTGTCTGACTTCAAAGCTGTTGTCAATGCTAAAGCTTTAAGATGGTCAAACAAAGGGTCAATCTAAGCTTCCTAAAATCTTCTGAGAATAAAGCAGAAAATGGTAGGACGGAACAGATAAATGGATGGAAGGACATTTTCAGCATTATCTTACTAATCAACATTGGTTGAGTGCCCACTATAGTTAATGTTTTCTCTCTCTCCACCTCTCTCTGTCATATCTGCTGCACCTCTGCACCCTCCTTCAGAATTGTCTTCTGAATCCAGCCCCTTCCTCCATCACTGTCATTGTCACCTAATCCAGAACCTCCTCAGATTAGCCTGATCAATCTTGAATACTCCCTACTGCCATCTCATCTTCTCTGCCATAACCAGGATCAGTGTTTTAAAACAAAAAAACCTAACCATGTCAGTCTCCTGCTTCACAGCTTCCACTAACATCCAGTTGTCTACAAGATAAACTCCAAATCCCTTGGCCTGGCTCACTCAACTAGTCTCTAGTCACAGTTTCTCCCCACATTCTGTGTTGCCAGTGCTACAGACTTCTTGCCAGAAAAGACAAACCTGATTTCAAAACACCATTTGCTAGCTCTGTACAAACAGGTCTGGAGTCACTCACTCTTTATGCACATCATTTTTTTCCTAACCAAAAAGGAAATTGTTTGTAAAAGGTAAAGTTTTTAAAGATGTAAAATACAGTGTCAGAAGTTATATAGCTCATGGTTAGCACATGGCTAGCTTTCTATGTATGCCTTTGTAGTATCAATTCCCTCTACCAGAGGTCCACCTTTCTCTTCTCCATGTGACAAACTCTTGTTCAGACACAGATCAACAGGCAGATTCTCTATGGTTATTTTTCTGCTTCCCCAGACTTAGATATTTGCCTCTTTGGACTTCCACCATTTATTGCATCAGGGCATTTATTACATCATGATATGATATGACATGGTTAAAAGATCCTTTAAGAAAGAAAATATCTTTTATTAATCCTTACTTTAACCTGGTATATAATAGCTTCTCAAAAAATATTTGTTGAATGAATATATGAAGGCACTATGCTGGGCTCTTCAGTCCAGTTCTTGATGAGCTCCAGTTGTTAAGGACATGGAACAAACAGATCCACACATATAACCACAAGCAAGACTGACTGGAATAAGGGCTCAATTGGAAGCAGAATCAAAGTGTAATGGCAGCAAGTGATTCTACCTGAAGATACAGGAAAGCAGAGAAACCTTCCCCAGGAATCAGAGCTGAGTCCTAAAGCATGCATGTGGATTTCACTTACAGTTTTCACCTGCACACATGCTTATTACAGCCAGCACTCTTCATGTCCCTTATGACTCTAAGCTTAGGTGGCAGAAGGCCAGAGAGTTCTTAAACGTTGGCCAAAAGTTCCTAGGAGGTGTCATAAAGGAAAAGATAAAGAGTTTTTCATAATGCAATTTTGAATGGCAGTTGTAGTTTTGCTTATAAATCCTGAAGCCTGTAAATTACTGACAAATCAGCATATCTTTGAAGATGAAAACAGACAACACCAAGAAGATAAAGGTTTGAAAACTATAGATCCATAAAAATCTTTTGTTTTCATTATAAACCTCTGAGGAAGAGAGATTTTTTTGGGATTGTAAGTAATAGACTACCCATGTGAAATTGAAAAATGATGAACCATGAGATACTAATTTATTTTAATATAATGTATGAAGTAATTCCTGCCTTCTTTTACAACATAGGAGGATATTCAATATAATTTTGAATGTAAGATTTTTTAAAGAAAGGATTTTATAATATAAGCAGTGCAAGTCTAGAAATGCTCAATGCTCAAAATCCAATAGAGCATAGCTATAAACATAAGTTAACATTTTGTAGTATCTTCTACATCTACCACTTTATAGTTTTGATAGAAAAAGTCTATCTTCCTTCAATAGCATTGATTCCAAAATCAAATATCTCTGTTTTCTCTCTATTTGTGTGATCACACTGCTGCCCTGATGAAAAACTATATAAAATGTCAGTAATGATCGTTGTGGCTACTGTTCATCCAGTGTTCATAATGTGCCAGGCAATGGGCTATCCAAGATTGCATTACTTGGAGAGCTGTTAGAAGCTTCTGCTTACATTTTTTATTTTCTATATCACTAAAGCTCAACTTATGTTGTACCATATATACCAGAAACTTAGCAAGGTAAGGGAAGGTACCTAAGTATTGCTTTGAGAGATATCCCGGAGAAATGAAATATGGCTATTTAGGAAAAACAGAAATTGCATTTGAAATGGCACAACCTGAAACCCAAGAAAAAGTCCATTCCTGTGTGAGCCAAGGACAGTTAGCAGGCAGAACATTGGTCTTCATTCTACTCACAGCCCACATGTAGAGTTCCTATGCACTTGTTTCCCAAGACATCACCTTCTTCATGTGTTCAAGTAGCAGAGGACATTATGAGGGGACCTCCTACCAGCTCTGTCCAGCTCCAGGGACTCATTTCAGGTTTTTGAGGAGAGCTCTTAGGTCTGGTTCTACTGCTCAACTTTCATGCCTCCAAACCCAAGATGATAGCTATTTAAGATGATGCCAAACACAGCTCATTTGGGATAAACAGCCAGAAAGATTGATTCTGTTTGTGACTACTTTTTATGAGTATAATCATTTTCTATTTTTTAACTTTTTTAAAGAAAAACATAAGAAATTAGAAAGGAGAATATAATGGCCTCCATGATCCAGCTTCAGTAATTATTATCTCATGAGTCAATATTATTTCATCCATCCTCCCTCTCCATATATATATATATGGAGTCTATATTACTTAGGAGAGTGATTTGATAATATATATATTATATATACACATACACACATACACATATTACATATGTATATATATATATTACAATCATATTTAAATTCTTCCTTCCTGAAATAAACAATGATTTTCAAAATATTTTAAAGTATCTAGAGTATAGATATCAAGACTGTTAGTGGATTTTTAGGACAAAAACCAAGAAACATGGTAATTTATTTTTATTTTTATTTTTATTAAGGTATGATATACATACTTATGAAGGTTTCACATGAAAAACAATGTAGTTATTACATTTACCCATTTTATCAAATCCCCACCCACACCCCAATGCAGTCACTGGCCATCAGTGAAGCAAGATGCCACAGATCCACTATGTGCCTTCTGTGTGCTACACTGTTCTCCCCATGATCCCCCACACCATGTGTACTAAACATAATACCCCTCAATCCCCTTCTCCCTCCTTCCCCACCCGTCCTCCCACACCCCTCGCATTTGGTAACCACTAGTTCATTCTTGGAGTCTCTGAGTCTGCTGCTATTTTATTCCTTCAGTTTTGCTTCATTGGTTATACTCCACAAATGAGGGAAATCATTTGGCATTTGTCTTTCTCCGCCTGTCTTATTTCACTGAGCATAATGTCCCCCAGCTCCATCCAGAAACATGGTAATTTTTTAAAAAAATAATTATTTGAACACTTTACAACTTGTAAGAACTCAGGTATGTAACCAAAAAGAGGACCAAAAGGCAGTAAATTTTGATTAAAAGGCTGAAAATTGAAAAAAGGCAATAAAGAGTTTATCTGGAGATCTTTAAATAGATAGTAGTGTTAAAGACACTCTAATACAACTGGAATGTCTCCAAAAGGCATTTCTATAGTAAACACATTAAAAGCTGGTTTCTTTGAGCAGAGTTGGATTATATTCACAAACCTTCAAATTGATACTCTTTCTCATAGATCGAATTGCACAGAACATCATTAAGTCCCATTTGGAGACATGTCAGTACACCATGGAGGAGCTACACCAGTTGGCGTGGCAGACACACACCTATGAAGAAATTAAAATTTATCAAAGCAAGGTAACTCTGGGAAATACTGGAAAGTTTTTCTGTGACTCTCTCTCTCTCTGGCTTTTTCAACCTCAGCATTACTGACATTTTGGGCTGGACAACTCTGTGCTGTAGAGACTGGCCTGCATATTGTAGGATATTTAACATCATCACTGGTCTCCACCCACTAGATGCAAGTTACACCCCCATCACACACAGTGGTGACAATCAAAATGGCTCCAGATATTGCCAAATGTTCCCTTGGAGGAAAAACCACCCCAATTGAAAAACACAGCCCTATTTGAGTGACCAGGGAGACTGTGCCCAAATTAGATGATTTTAGGACATCACATGATGGCTTCTTGGTAGGAGGCAAGGAACAAGAACGATTGGGAAATCACAACAATAATAATAGTTGCAAACTCACACTACAAAGATAGGCAACAAAACATCCCACGTGTTTTTTTCTTGCCCTACATGTTAGAAAGAACCAAAGAAAAAAGACAACTCTTCCCATATTGTTATTATTGTTATTATTATTAATTTGATTATTATTTTGTGAACTTTAATGAAATTTTTAAGAGAAGGAATTGTTTATTGTTCTATGTTCACATTCCTTTCCTTTAGCATTGAGATCCATAATTACAAGATCTACCAGTAAATGAAATTTTAATAAAATATAAATGTGTCTGTATGTAATGAATGATTACACATACTAATTTTTACCCACAGGGGCAAGTGATCTTACCACTTTTATTTAAATAAGGAGACAAAAGCATAGGTATTTTTTTGGTTAAAAAAAGCAGAATTAACACACTTGGATTTACACTGCCCATGCTAAAAAAATACAAGGATCAAAATACGTTTCTGGGAGTCTGTATTACTTAGGAGAGTGATTTGATTTTTATGTCCTTTCCCTTAAAATTCTTTTCATACCATAAAGCAATCTCCATAAGTTCTGGAAAAAGAACACAACATAAAAACATTGCAAATTTAGTGTCCACCAGGTATACATGAATATGACCTTCTGGAAGCCTGTGAAGAAAAATCACTATTTCTCAGTGTAAAAGTTCGTTTCTATAAACCAGACTAACAGCTTAAGTTTGTTTAAGTGAGAAGAAAAAGAAAAAAAGAATGAAGAAAATACAGCTATCTACCTTTGCATAGTATTGAATATTTCCATTATTTTAGCCTCAGTACTTCAATAATTGTAGCATATCAAGGTTCAAACAGGTCAAAACAATGTTGGAAAATATTGCATACTTCTTTCAAAGGAATTGGGTAAATTCCCACTGTGGGCCCCAAGTGACAGCTAAGCGCTAGCAGGGCAACCCTGGGTATTTAATTGACTCTCCCAGTTTTTCTTTGCTCTGGGTGCATTCTGTGTTCTCTCTTGAAGTCCAGGGAAGCGCTATGGCAGCAATGTGCCATCCAGATCACTCATGCCATCCAGTATGTGGTGGAGTTTGCAAAGCGGATAACAGGCTTCATGGAACTCTGTCAAAATGATCAAATTCTACTTCTGAAGTCAGGTGAGCAAGAAAATTCGTGGGGGGCCTTATTGTAGACTGGGATGTACTTGACCATATTCCGTGTTGATCCTAGAAAATCTTCCTTCCAATATTGTAGCTCCTTTTTGCCACCCACACTGTCAGCCAACTCCCAAAGGAAATTCTCAGTAATAAAAATGTCTTAATACTCATTCAGTTCCCCTTTGAAGTCAAATATGATTTTGCTTATTGAAAGTGGAGCTATTAATTGAGGAGGTTGAGATACCCAGTTTGACAGGCAGTGCAAGTAATTAGCGTGTCAAGGTGGCTGAATTGCTAAGCTGGCTCTAAAACATACTACTTACCTTCTCTTGGTGGGAGGAAAAAATCCGGGCTAGCTGAGCTCTGCCTCGGTGGTATATCTAATCATTTTAATGAGGATAGCCTGCAGCCAGAATATACCAGGAGAACTCCACTGAATTCTGATCTTGCCCTCCCTCTTCTTTCACATATGCCCCCTGACACACACACAGTCACTTAGGAAGGACTCAAGAAATTCTGCCCATGACTGACCTGGCAGATGCTATTACCCAAACAGGAAAAAAAATTTATTCTTCTTGGTCCCCTTTGAAAACACAGTATAAGAACCATGGTGTTTATATTAATCTGCATAGTCCAGAGTCGTAGTAGTAATAATAATTTCCTTTCAATTATACATAATAGCATATATATGTATATGTTTACCTCTGACATCTCATTTCCTCTTGTGAGATCAGTATTTTCAGCTTTTAGAGGAAGAGGAGAAGATTCAGAGTGAAGGGCTATGTTCAGTATCACAAAGCCAAGAAATAAATATATGGCAAAGTTTGTATTTGAACCTGAGTCAAATAGTTATTCAAAGTAGCTGCTGCTTCTTTACCAAATGATAAAAGTTGATGCAAATCTTGACCCAAACATTAACTTGATCTATCAGTTGTCTATTGCTGGATAAAATTTACCCCAAAACTTAGTTCAAATAACAACAATCATTTATTTTGCTCCTATAGCTACTGTGTGAGCAGGGCTCAGCAAGGGATGACTAGTCTCTGCTCCATGTGGCATTCTCTTGACTGAGGGCAGGAGGGTTCACTTTCAAACTGGCTCACTCACATAGCTGGCCGTTTGTGCTGGTTGACAGCTCAGAGTTGAGCCCAGAGCCTGGGCTGAGGCTCCTATCCAGGGAGCCTCTCCTCAGACTGCTTGGACTTCCTCACAGTGGGGTTGGTGGATTTCAAGTGCTGGCATTCCAAGAGAACAAGGCAGAAACGCATAGCACTTTCCTGACTTAGCTTCAGAAGTGACAAGCTATTACTTCCACTTCACTCTGTGGGTTTGACAGTCATGAAGGTCCATCTGGGTTCAAGAGTAGGAGACAGGAATTCTTCTTGATGGGAGAGTAATAAACCTCTAGAAAGGCATATGAGATGGAAGATATGTTTGTGGCTTTCTTGGAAAAATAAGATCTGCCACACTTGATATGTGATCTTGAGCAAACCTCTCTGGATGGCATGTTTCCTCATTTGTAAAATAAAGAGATGGACCAGAAATAGTAAATTCCAAACTTAGAATTATACCAGCAGCATCAGAGGGTTTATTGACTGTCTGAGTCATCATCCATGGCCCACGGAATCCGAGTGTCCTGGAAGGGAACCCGGTTCACTCTATGTCTAACCGAGTCTCAAATATAATCAGTCCATGGACTAACATTTGAGAACCACTGGACCATATAATCTTTAACATCCCTACCTGCTGTAAAAATGTGGATTCTAGTATAAAAGGCAGGGTTAACCTCCTTAAGCCTCCTTTAACTCATTTCTTAAAAAAAGGAAAGGGGGGCTAATAAAACTCACCTGAAGTCATATTGCAAGGTGCAAATAAAATATTGAATATGCCTTTCATATTGTTAATACTCAGTAAATGGTACCTATCATTTGTTTTTGTCAGCAAAGCATTGTTTCAATTAATATTTGCAAATCCCTTCCTATAGATAAGCGTTTATGCTAGAGACATATGCTGGAAAGCAAAGAGAAAAATAGCAGAACAAAGGAAATAAAACACAGACATAAATATAAAGTGGCAGCATAAGAAAGGCACTGCAGGTACCTTTGGGTACACCACAGGTGGAGCCGAATCACCTGTATCATGCTCTCATGCAGACTTGTGGCTTCTGAGTCTAGCTGTCACCTTAACAACGCACTATGGGGCAAATACCATTTCTCCAAAACATGGAGAACTGTGCAATTATCCTCAGGATGTCAATAAATGTTCAGAGGCAAAAACAAGTGTAGCAAACTAATTCATTAGATAAATATTTTTTAAGCACCTACTATGTGACAGGAACTTTTCTAGGTCCTGGAGATGAAATGGTGAATAAAATAATCACAGTTGCCTATGGCTGCAGGCAATGGTCCTGCCCTCATCAGGCTCACAGTGAACTCAGAGAAATGCTAGGTCCATCAAGACTGGGCAGGTTCCTTCATGTTGGGATTTCTCCAAGTCTTTGATTTGTCAATGTTGATCAAAATCTCTGGAGGGAGATAATATTCAGCATTTTGCCAAAACGTATTTGACTAAGAAACCTTTATTTCAAAGACATCAGACATAAATGATGCCCTTTAAGAGAAACTCCCTGAATGAGTCCCTATTTAAAGTCATCATATAATAAAATATACATGCAGTATGTTCCAAACTGAGGCAGAGAGCAAGTTCTCCCACTAGCAAAACGTTCATAAAGTTAACAGACTGGACTTGCTTGCTGCAAAGCTCCTTTCTAGGCCACTTATCAGCACTGGTGACTTGGGAGTTGAAAGTACTTTAATATAAGTAGAAAAAAATAAAGAAAGAGAGGAAGGAAGGAAGAGAGAGAGAGGAAGGGAAGGAAGGAAGGAAGGAAGGAAGGAAGGAAGGAAGGAAGGAAGGAAGGAAGGAAGGGAGGGAGGG